GCTTAACAGCGAATGAAGAGACATGAGTGGTATTTATTTTTTAATCTAAATCTTGACAAGAAAATGAGAGTGTAGTTCACAAAATGTCAAGCTATCCGTAAAGGGTGGCTCACTTATCACAAAATACAGATTTTTTTCACCTAGCTTCAGTGGAATTTAGTGAGCAACAGTTTTTTTTTTCTGCCTAGGTTTTAAGAAAGCCTGTCCTCTGTCCCTGAAATTCTTTTCATTTACTGGGACCGTTTCTTTGGTACCAGGTAGTTTGTTGTTCAAAGAGAGGTAGAGCGTGGATACCCCGAACTGAGCCAGATGGGACCCGTCAGTACCCGAGGGTTCCAGCTGGGTTTGGACAGAAATTAAAAAAATGTTATATTTGGATCCAGGTTGGGTTTGGACACGTAGGTCAGACTTTATGCTAGACAGCTGGAGCACTCAATTGTCTGCTTCATTTAATGAAAAGGGGGGGAAACACCGTACAAACTTAGCTGCGTTGATCTCGGGTTAGGTTCAGATTTTATATACTAATAAGCTTGTTGGGTCCTGGTCGGGTTCGGACAGAAATATGGGGCCCGATCCATGCTCTACACTGAGGTTGGTGAACTATCCTGAGTAATGGATGTTGTGAGCACCACAAACAAAATTCTGTTTACCTAATCTCTTTACTGGGGTGGAAGAAGAAATGTCTGTATTGGATATGTAACCAAACTATCTGCACAGCTAGAGGACACCGTTTATAATTTGGGTGATGTGACATTAATAGTTTGCAGCAGTTTAACCTTTGATTGCTTATAGATGTGGATTCTCCTGTTCAGATTCCTCAGTTCTTGTATGCAGGACCTTCTGCCAGTAACTTTATCCTACAGCAGATTTCCTTGAACCTCATACAAATAGCGAACATATTTGGAATCTCACTTGTGATTCAGGCTGATATGAATTCATGAGTATAAAGACTGTATAAATGTAATGAATTTCTTCAGGAAATAAGGGGTTATTTTAAGAACATGGACCTAATGGAGGTGTCTTGGACTGTCCTGCTCGTTCGCTCTATTTATCATATAAGCCAATACTTAATTTACTTACTCTCTCTCTCTCTCTCTCTCTCTCTCTCTCCCTTCTTTCTTCTCTGTCTCGCTCTTCTTTTTTTCCTGGCAGAGCTGAGAGTGGTGTTACCATCTGTCTGTAATGTGTCCTGGATGCAACTGAGTGTGTGCGTGTGTGTGCATTCAAGGCAGGATGGCCAGGCTGAGCTGGGAATGGGGCTCAAATGGAGAAAGAGAGCTTTAGACGGACAGAATAAAATCAAGACTGAAAAGAAGAGCGAGAGAGTCAGAAAAGCACAGAGGGGGATGTGCGAGTGCGTCTGTGTTTATGTTACAACAGTATGAGCCACAGCTGTGTGATCTATAATACCAAACCTTTCAAAGACCTTGACAGTGTGAGAAGATGACCAGCTGAAGGAAAAGACACACAATGACACACAGCTGTTTTCAGAGGAATGCTGTGTGTGTGTGCAAGTGTGCATATTATTGGTGTATATGTGTCAGAGAGGGATATCAGGTTACCTTTACTTACTTTAATGAAGAGCAAATCCCTGATGCATGCTGCATGCTGTATGTGTGTGTCCTAATAGCAGCTTATAGCCATTAGTCAGTAGCTCTTTAGCAGTAATTTCACTCGGCAGCACTGGACTGAAACATCTGCTTCAGTCAGTAATCTACCTCTGGCGATGAATCTGTGTGTGTTTTGCATATATGTGGTTGTGTGTGTGCTAGGTTAAAACATTTTGGCTATGGTTCTCAGTTAATCTGCTGTATGTGTGTGTGTTTTCCCTCTGTAAATAGCGTATGTATCACTGCTGACATAAGTGTATGCGAGCTTCAGCGGCTGAGTGGTGTGTTTATCTTTGTGGTTTTTGCCTTGTATATGTGTAAGCACATACATTTTTACTGTTAAAGTTCAGGTTGCAACCTGGTTAAAACTCTGACGAGGAGCACGTATACGGCCATCACATGTTACTTTGGGCTTTTTGAAAAAATATTTTTGCACTATAGCAAATCAGGTGAAACCATGTTATTTTCCTCTTCAGATGAATGGCTTTGGTTGTTGTTTTTAGTTTTTTATAGCTAGGCTTTTTGGCTTTATTGCTGTTGTCATGCAAGCAAAGAGACGTCTCCAGAGTTGGCTTTCATTTATGCTCCAGAAACACAGTTGACCTTAGAAGACCTCACCAGACTTTCCATTCTTACTACTTTGGCATGTCTACATGGAATACTAATCTGTATTTACAAAGCTGACGGCAGGTGCAGTTATCCCCTATTCACCCATCAAACTAAGACTGTATTCATCTAGTATTTCTTTTTTCTATTAATCCTTCAAACAGGATATTCACTATAATCCCTCCTGTATTTTCTGAGACTTGTTGACAACAGCATACTTTGAATTAGTCTCTCTCATATCTGTGCTCCTCTGCCTAATCTTTTTTTCTTATATAATGACATGATAAAGCTTGTTGTATTTTACTAAAGATATGCCCATAAGAGGAAAAGCACTAATGTTAATTGCTTAGAAACTCTGGAATAGTGTAATGTCCTGTTTCTCTTCTGATGTGTCTATTTTATGTCCCCACAGTTTTCTTATCTAACTTTTGTTAACTGGATCAGTTGTCTATATCTTTCTAGCTCTTTTGTTGTTGAGCTTGTGTGCATTGCTGACAAAAATAAACCCTTTGGATTCCTCTCTCTCTAACTCATTCTAGTAAGGACGGTTTCACGTACACTTCTATTAGAAATGTATCTAGGTTTTGATCTAATTGTTATCCAAATTGAGGAGGGAAGTCACATGATTACAGGTAAACCCACTGGAAACAGACACATTTATTAAAAGCTCCTCAACAGTGCAAAAAGGTTTTCACGCTCATATGAACTGGAAAATTGCTTTGTCGATGAGGAAATTACAAAATAAACACTGATGGAAATGCAGTGGTAGGCTGGCATGATGCAGGCTTGGCACAAACTGGCTTTGTATGTCATGGTAAAACAGTTAAAGGATGAAGTTTTGGGAAATCCCTTTATTTGCATTCTTGCTGAGAGCTAATTGAGGGGTTGATACTATTTTCATGTCTGTTCATTACAGCCAGTAGATTAGCTTAGCATAAAATATAGCAGCAGGGATAAACATGTAGCCTTTTAGCATTCTAGTTTGGTGAGCTTTAGAGGTTTTTAGTAAACATTTGACCCTCTGAGGCTTTTAAATGTATAGCTATAGTTCATATCTCCACCTTTAGATTAAATGTGACCAAGAGTAGCTGGTAGTAAAGGTGAGCAGCAAGTTAGGCTTCCCTTTTCCTCATTGATGTGTTTTGTTATGTTTAAGGTTCCTGTTTGATTACTTTAAACCAGTACAGGGAAGTACACCTAATCTGGTTTTTGCTTATCGTGTTTCTGTGAAATTGTAATAACAATCTGTGTGTGTGTGTGTACGCCGCTATAACTGAACAACACTGACATCCCATTTTCTTTCTCTCTCTCTCTGTACTTTCCCAGGTAGGGCAGTTCATTGAATTTCTCCATGAATGTACGTCACAATGATGATGACAGACCAGATTCCACTGGACTTGGCTCCGCCCCCCCACCTCAACGGGGAGGTCCCTCTCATGCCTCACATGGTTAATGGTGAGGCAGCACAACAGGTAAACACTCACACACGTGTCTGTCGCTTGCATTCACTTTTTTTTGCAGAATGAACATACAGATGCATCCACCTTCTTTCCAACATTGCGGTGCTGTATGCACACAGCAACAGATCCACACAAGAATGTACAGCAGACAATCATGCAGGCATTTCTCTTTGTCATTTCATCACATGCCTCATGCTTTTAGAGCATCAGGAACAAGGAACAAGAATAAACACAGATGCATGCAGGCGTACTACCTACACTTGTATCATTTTATCTTAGAGACATTTTTAATGTGGTGGCAGCATTTTGTAGAAAGATTTACTGTTGAATCCTAACAATCACATATTTGTATCTGGATCGAAGGAACACACAGGCACAGATAAACATTCACCTAGGTGTAGGCAGGTAGACAGAAACAGGAAAGCTGATAGACAAGCAGACAGTACTCAGACTCACCACAGACACATGGGTGCCCACATACACTCAAAATGGGTGAAATTAAGGCAGACCAAGAAGTTAACAAATATATACAGTCATGGACACAAAAACACACACATAGTCAAATCCATAAATTATCAGTCTAGATCCCTGAATTGACAATGGGAACCAAGTTTAAACTGTAGGGTGTAACAATAAAAAGAGCTCCATAACTGCTGTGTGTTACAGCCAAATGCCTCCCTAACTTTTACGTGTTGCAGCCAAAGCCATGCTTCCTCTGGGCTGTGAGATCAGGCCGGGGATGATACATAAACCTCAACACTCCTCATCTACCAAAAGTACACAGTCAATTAACTGTGATGCTTAATTACACTGATTGCTTTCTTTAGCCTATGAAAGGCTCTGGTGGGGAGGGACTGATAAAGTCTTTTCCAGAGTATTTCTGGTTAAGGTTGGGATCCGTCAACGGAGCCAGCCAGCAAGTTATAAGCTGCTTAAATCTAGCTGTAAGTCATTGAGGGTCTTATTGGTTTTACCATCCATATACCAAATTAGGTTTTTGCCAGTGCAAAGCCCATGATAAAAAAAAAAAGTGTAGTATATAAACTGTATCACACACGCTATTGTGTTTACATTTTCCAGGTCCCTGGCACCTGTCGGCAGGCTTGTGGGGTTGTAGGTTACAAACCTGTAGTCTATCATATTCCTTCTTGAAGTCGTGACAGGAATTTATGACTCTATAAACATGTAGTTTGGCATAGTGACCATCTTATCAGTGCAAAACGTACACAGAGGAAGTGTGTCTGCTTGAAACATCTGTGTCTGAATATTTCATTTAATTGGACTGCTGTTCCTCTCGTGATTGACTTTTGCTACTGAGAATCTATCCACCCTCTGCACATAAGGGAGTTGAGTGCATTGATCATTTTTATTTTTATTTCTTTTAAAGTTTAACTGTTACACACTTTTTATCTAATTGAATTAAAACTTTTAAAGTTATCAGGTCTCTAAAACTGCTTCTAGTAACTCTTCTGTTTCATTATGTAGCCACTTGATTGGTCTTTGTCAAGCTGGTGACATCATCTTGGGGTGGATAGGACTTTAGGGGAATGTTGCATTTTAAAGTCGGCTAAAACAGGACTATTGAAATAAAATTAATATTGCAATGTTTTCAAAAACATGCAATTAGTGTGTAGAGACAACAGGATGGAGTGAATTGTAAGCAAAACTGCTAACCAGTCTTATATAGTAGGATTTTTTTTTTTTTTTTTTTTTTAACCAAATAGCATTATTTAAAATGTCAGTATGATATCTAATTAGTAGATCTTTCCTCTGAAACAGGACGTGGATGTTCTGGTTTGATGGCTCCCAAAAGTATTCACTGTTTTTGTTTATAGACCCTTCATAAATGCCAGGGGATACAATTAAAATACAGTACAGTAACACTGTGAACTGCAACAGCTCTCAGCTGTTGGCTCTAGAAAACGAACCTCAACTTGAAAAACACAGTTTCTCAGAAGCTAAATAAATGGTTGGAGGTGTTTGGGCAATGTCAATCCAACCTGTTATTATTATTATTCTGTTAATATGAAAAGATTTGTAGTAGGGATGTAACGATATTTGTATTTTTGTGATGTTGCGACAGTATCTATAGTTATTTCGTTAGTAGAACTGTGTTCTGGTCACAGAATTTGAAACCGACATATCGAATGCTCCATTATTAACTTTTATAGCTGTTGTGTGGTAGAATTTCAGTTTTCCCGTTTCAAGAAATTACATGGATGGAAAGGAAACTTAAAAACACTTAACAGTTTGCAGATACTACTGGACGGATGCAGTATTAGCTGTGTTTGAGCTGAGACAATCCTGGATACATCTCACAGAGAAAGTCGAGACATGACTGTGTACTAAATTTTAATGGAGAAGGGCAAACAAACTGGATCCTCAAATGCAAAACCAACCCTTAAAGTCTTTTCTTTTGTAAAACGTAAACCTGTGTTTTGAAAAATGCCTCCATTAAAGCCCAAATCTCAGTTTTATGTGGCTTGTCCTAGTGTAGTTTCTTCTTCAGTGATCAATCATACCATCAAAACATGAAATATGCTACAAATATCTCACAACATTAGATTCTCTTGGTTGGTTTAAACATAACACGTACATATACACAGTCACTACACACACACCCACATGGTGTGATATGGGGGTTTTCTCAGTCTTTGAGAAACATGGGTCACCCTGTACTATACTAGGGTTCCTATAGCAACAGCAGCCGCTGCAGCAGACAGACCAGGAAGTGTGTGTGTGTGTGTGTGTGTGTGTGTGTGTGCCTGAGGGAGAGGAGCAGGTTAGCGCCGAGATGGGAGAGCATGCAGACAGACACTACAGGCAGAACGCGAGATATGAGAATTTTACGACGGCACACCTGTAGAGTGTAGACTGGTCTGCGTTTGTGTGTGTGAATGCATGCATGTGTGTGTGAATATATGTGCATGTGAGTGCAATGGAGGGTCACCTCTTTCATGTTTACAGCCACGTGTACACCCTCAACAATCTGTATGCGGAGAATATGACGGTAAGGTATATGCATACTCCTTTAAGGCACATTCAACGGGAACATTCAGAAAACAGTGTTCAATGATTTGGCTTTATTTGTATGTGCTCACTTGTCTCACATGCCTGTCTCCATGTGTGTAGTTTTTTGCTTTAGTGGTATTCTGCCAGTCATTGTGAGCAAAACAGAAAGGCTTTTCTCAAAATCAGGCTGTATGAAACAGCAATATCTCACCATTAGCTTATCTAACACCTCATTCATATGTGTGAACTCAGTGTCCTCTCTGCTCTGGGATCTGATGGTTATTGTGTGTTATGTCACTTCAGCAAGCGTGGTGGCTGCCCAGTGTCTCGCCTATTTTGTGATTGTTACAAATGGATGTACTGTATGTTTATAGCGTTATGCGTGACAGATTTTTTTTTTTCTTATTGCCATTTTATTTTCTCTTTTTTAACAATGAATCTGATCCATGCTTTCTAACTATGTGATCTTTGTGTATGTGTGTGAATTGGTACAGGTGATCCTGGTGCAGGTGAACCCTGGAGAGACGTTCACCATCCGAGCAGAGGATGGCTCACTACAGTGCATCCAGGGTCAGTCCCCTCTTCTATTATTGTATTATCGTAATAACATGTGGCCTGGTGGCTGTTCTGATGTGTGTCACTGTGACAGACTTTAATTATTTGCTGGCTGCACATGCTTGACATTAGGGATCATTTCTTTCTCAAGCATATTTTATATTACGTGAGATGCTTTTCACCTTTTTACTATCTATAGTAGGTCATCACAGGGCTCAATGTATTTAGACAGATACAATTATGGAAACATGAAACTTGCTTAAGAATGGGAAGACACAGGGAGTGTCATGCAATTTTTCCTAAGTTTCATGCAGTTAAAAGCATAGTCACTGATACACTGGGGCAGAGTGGAAAACCATGGTCTCACTTTCTGGGTGCAACAGATATCAACACATGAAAAGAAGGGAAATGTAGGCCACTTAGAAGCTCTTAAAGATGGAAGGGAGGTTGCAGTAACATGGGAATTCCCCCAGCTCTTTTGGAATTGTCTCACTTTGATGATGTCATCAGAGTAAGCTGCTACTCAGAACCTTTGAAAGAGTGCCTTTGTTTTCTTTGCAATCTCTCTCCCTCTGTCTCTTCATCTCTCACTCTTTCTTTGTCCTGTGAATGAAGGTTTTCTTTTAGACAGAGTAGTTTTGGCTTTAGACATTGACTCCCCCTGAAAAAAAAAAACAACCCACAACCAGCCCATACTTTGTTGTGATTAATTACAGCCCGCCTCCTTTTCTTTGCCTGCCATGTAATTCAATTTTCCCCTTAAATCAGAATGATCGCACCAGGCATATCTACAGGCGCAGATAATACCACATAGAAACGGTGCATGATACGATGGATGGATGCAAAGATGTGCAGACACAGTAAACAAAGACATTTATAGATATGGGTCAGTGCCTCAGTGAGATGTTGGATAAAAGACAGGTGAAGAATGGTTTAATGCCTACAGTGATTAGATGAATGCGATACCAGACACTGATTTGCAAAAAGACACTGTGCTGACGTAGTTGGGGTCTGGTGGTTTTCTGTTTATTTGTGTGGGTTCATGTGTGTACTCGCATGCAAAATTTAGCATCGAAGGCACAGTGTGTGTCTGTGTATATGTGTGCTGTTTTTTTTCTTCTTCTTCTTTGGTGCCTTTTACTACAGTCAGCGACAGTTAATTGGGTGGGTGGCTGGGGGCTCGGGGTCATGTTTGAATGCACATATTAATGTGGAGGGCCACACACACACACACACACACACACACACTTCTGTTGCTCTCTAGAGGAGGACACTGGGTTTAATGAGGTGGAGTGTGGTAGTATGTTTTGAAGGTGAACTGATTCAGCCTTTTGACAGAGAGTCAGTGTGATTACTGAGACCCCAGAGCTCTATGTTTACTCCTGCTTTTTGGTGTGGCTTCGGCATACTCATGTGCAAGTGTATGAGTGACAGAGAGGGAGTTTATAAAGATCTTAGGGCACAACCAGGAACCTGCTTTCATATAAAGTAACCCCTGTTTAGCCGCAGTACATGCATGCAAACATGCATACACGTCCACACAGATGCAGAACCAGGCTGGAGATGTTGACCGACCATCCAAAAGGGATTCTTTCATATGAACCATCGGCCACCTCCCTTCTGTGCTCAGTTCTTTCTCCATTTCTTCACCTCCTGTCTTCTTTTCCTCTTCCTCATTCATCCTCCAGCTCAAATGAAACCTGGAGCAGAAAAAAGACGATTGTATTTGTTGGACTGATGTTAAGTGCTGCTCATTATTCTCACCGCCACTAAATGCTACTGGTTGAATTATGCTCTTTTATTTGAACTGAACGTTTACATAGAATTTTATTATGCTCAACAAATTCCACACCCTTGGGGCACAACGGTGTGTGCGCATTCAAATGTTTTATGCTCGCTTGGAAATACAGAAACTTTTTCACTTATTCTCTATAGATGTCGTTGTCAGTTATGTCAGTCATACACCTAACCTGCTCGGTTATTTGCTACTTTCATTATTCTACCATTGCTATTTTGCATTTTTCTGGGTCTCTGTGTCTTTTGTTGCGGTGAATCAGTGTATAAATGTGAGCCTTAAGATATTTTCCTGTATCAGTCTGTTAATCAGCATGTACTATGCATGTCTACATCCAGTATCTCCGACCTCTCAGTGCTCAGGGTGTCCCCTTAGGCCGACCCCACCCCTCATCTCCATCCAACCCTCACTCCCAATCTATCTCTCACTGTTTCATCATGTTGCTCTCTCATATAGGCTCTTCTCCCTCCTTTGCGCTCCCCCTCTTGATCACCCCCTTCCCCCACTAAGACCATTCCCCTGAGCTTTCCCACACTCACATCAAAGGACAAGACTGTAGAGGGTGTGTTAGAGCACCCTGCTCTGGAATGTGACTGTGTTAATGTGTGAGTGCGTGTGTGTGTGTGTGTCTGTATGTTTAACAAGACTTTGTTGTTTTACTGTGTTGTTTGCTCTTTGTTAGACTTTTATGAGAGATGATGAGGCCAGGGGTTGAAGAGCAGGACGTTTTGCCCTGACATGGAGGATGTGACACCATGAGCCTTGGATGCAGTTTACTCTCTTATCTAAGCATCATTAAGTATTAGGGGTGTGTAATATTGACAAAAAAAAACCAAACGTATTTTCTGGGGTTTTGTTGACAACAATAAGCAGACAATTTTCTGCCTTCAAAATTCTGTCTTATTTTATATTTTACAAGGTTGCTCTTGTTAATAATTGTTGCTGTTTACCAGTTATATTAATAGAAACAACATAATTAAGAAAAACCGGCCTTGAAGCTGAAGCATTAAAGTAAAACTGTACACAAACACTGAAATGACTTTGCAGAATGATTCTGCTCAGGTTTGTGGAGTGTGTTTATGTGCCGTTAGCTTCGCTGGTTTAGTCCTGTGGTGGACAGCTGACTCTCCAAGCTTGTCAGCTCACATCATTTAAACAGCAATGGAGGTGGTATCGTAACATCTACGCTCGCCGGCCACTTTATTAGGTACACCAGGACAGGGGCGACTGTGGTTCAGTGGGTAGAGCAGTTGTCTCCCAACTGGAGGATCGGAGGTTCAAATCTTGGTGCCTGCAGTCCACCCATTGAAGTGTCCTTGGGCAAGACACTGAACCCTCAAGTTGCCCCCGATGGTTAGAGCCATCGGTTGAGTTGATGCTGCAGATGGCTGCCTCGGTTCTGTACCGGAAACAAATTCCTTGTGTGTAACATACTTGGCCAAATGAAGGTGATTATCCTTATCCTTACTATATTTTTGTCCTCCCCAGCTACATAAGGTACATGAGAGGGTCAAAATATTAGGAACACCTCTGAATATAATGTAGTACAGTACAACACCACCTTTAGCAAAGACCTCAGTAATAAACGTATAATTGAATTTATACATTTATGACAGCTTCACCAAAAACGGAAACATTTTGAGCTTCATAAACAAAGATGTCCAAAGATGACGGAGAGACGTGTTGCATTGAAGTGCATACAAGTATACTGGTGTACCTAATAAAGTGGCCGGTGAGTGTACTGTATATGGTTGTGCTGTGTTCCAGTTGCCTCCTGTACCAGAAGAAATGTGTGGAGGGATTTCCTTGTTCCATTTCCCTTTTATCAAAATTCTGGCATTAGATCTAAATGTAGACATGACTGCAGTTCAGAGTGGCAACCCACTGCCAGTATTAGTTGGATGGGTAGAGGTACCTGACAGATAAAGTGACTACAGATGTGTAATAATCAACCCAAAATAAATAGCTGTCTCATTTAATCAATTCTTAGTTACTGGATTTGATTGATTGTAGCAATAATGGTTGATCTTTCTTGTTTTCCTAACATCTGGTTGTGACTGCAAAAGTCATAAATGAGCAAACGGTACCGCTATAGTACATGATCATGACCGAAATGTAGCTCTGTGCTCCACTGTAAGTCCAGTTAAGGCTGTTCATTTTGGTGGCAAACAGTGGTGTGGAATGTGTGTCATCTGGACAGAGCCGAGTGTGAATTATGTCAAGAACTATTTTGTGGTTGATCAACAGATATGTGAAATATGTGAAATCACAACACTACAGTTTTGTTAAATGACTTGCAGGGCTAGACAAATATTGCCAACAACTCAGGTTGGATATTTTTTTATTGTACTATTTTCTTATTCCTCAAGTAGTTGAAGTTGGACATGGACAGAATAGTGTTTAACAGAGCCAAACTGGAGGGTATGAAAAATTGCATGTGCTTCCTTGTTTCCTGCTTCCTTACATCTCAAAGTTGCATCTCCCCCTTGTTGAAGTGGTTCTAAATAAGGAGGAGGAGAGATTTAGGGGAAGTGAGTTAGACCATGTGTCCTTTTAAAGGTATTTCCAAACTTTTCTCTCAGCCTCTGTCTCTGTTTCTCTTTCTCTGTCATCTTCTCACTCTATCTCTCCCTGCTTCAGTGTTTGTCTCAGTTGGAAGGATGATGCTGATATTCCTCTTGCTGGTTTCATTGCATCACTGCAGAAGCATACTGAGGTGCTTTTTTTTTTAACCAGCCTTTTGCCAGAGCGTGCCCTTCCACACTCGTAACCCTTTGGTGTAAATGGAAATAGTTTGTTGAGAGAAATATGGCGGAAAGTCTTGTGGCCTGTTTACACCAGGCTAAATGGCTCTACACAAGCTGGGGAGAAGTCACAAATGCACTTTTCTGAGAAGCGTTTAATTTGGAGTACTTTTTCGGACAGTCCTGTTGCTGCTTGTAGCCTGAGGTGGTTGTTTTAGGAACTTTTTCCAAACCTGCCTTGAAACTCAAATCATGCCTGTATGGAGCAGTGTAACAGGAAGAAGGGGGTGGCTGATGTCTGTGTTCCAGCTGATTGAGTTTACAGTGTGTGTGTATTCAAAAGAACTGTGAATCATACTTTAGGGTTATGTGTCAAAATGAAGTGGAAGTAGTTATTTTTACACATCCTAAATGTGTAAATACTTGCAAAGTCTGTGTGCATGTGGCTTTCTTTCGTGTATATTGCATTAATGTAG